AATTTTGATGTATGGGGATGTTATAAAGGTTTTTCAATGAGTGGGCTGGCCAATTGAGTGGGCTATGGGTTCAATTTGGTGGAACCAAATCATGGGGCCAAAATTGAGTTTTTGTTCTAAATCAAAATTGAGTTCAAATCATGGATCAATTGGGCTTGGATTTGGTCTTCATTGGAAATATGAAAAGTTAATTTGAGTTTAGAATTGAAATTGTGGAAATTGAGACCAATTGGATAGACATTTGAGGTGATTTGGAGAAAATATGGGCCTTTAAAAGGCAAGGGGTTTTGATCAAGTTTGGTTAAATTAGCCAAATTGGGTCATGTGATAGTTGAGGAAAATGAAATTGAGAATATTTGGGAGGTTTTGGAAATTTTTGGGATTTTATTAAATTTTTGGAATTTTGGGCCAAAGAGTGGTATTTTGGTAATTTGGTCCATCTAGGGATTTTGGGTAATTTGGGTGTTTTCAAGGTGTTTGAAATGATTTTTGAACAATTTTGGGTATTTTGGCTAGATTTGGAGATTTTGGCCAAATTTGGGGTCCCAAGGGTATCTGGGTAATTTAGGGGAATTTAAGGGCAATAGGGTAGGTTGGGTATCTTGATAGAGTTGGATTGTCAAAAGCCATGGATCAATAGAAACCCCATTTTGGGTCCTCTATGTAGTGGTCTTAGCTAAACCCTAGCCTAGGGCTAATGGGTTTATGGAACCACCTACAGGAGTCTCCCAAAAGTATCAAGGGACCAAAGCGTAGAAGTTCTGGGTTGAAGGTAATGAGTGATTGTGAGTGCAAACAAGTGCCTTAGCCCTAGACCAACACCCAGGGTCAACCCTAAGGTCCAGCAGTCCTAAGGGTGACTCATCTTGAGTTTCCCCCATAGAGACCTCACCTACTAAGTACTAGAGGTTATGACCAGTATGTGGAACTTCAAGTTGAGTAGAGAAGAGTTTGAAATTTCTAATGGTGAGGGTTCCTTGTCTAGTTTTCTAAGAATAGTCAATAGGAAAGTCCTATGGCTAGATCTTAGGCTACTAAAGAGGAAAAATTGAACCTCAACCAAAAGTGAGGTCAACAGTGTTAATAGTAGAATCCAAGTTGGTTGGTTGAGTGGAAGAATGCTTCGGGCCTTTTGTGTGATAGAAAAGTACCACTTAGATTGAAAGGAAAATTTTATAAGACAGTGGTGAGAACTGCAATGCTCTATGGCGCTGAATGTTGGCCTTTAAAAGAGAAGCATAATAATAAGTTAAGGGTTGCCGAGATGAGAATGATTAGGTGGATGAGTGGCTTTACACTTAGAGACAAAATGCGAAATGAATATATTCGTGATAGGGTTGGTGTAGCTCCTGTGACAGACAAAATTAGAGAAAGTCGTCTTAGATGGTTTGGTCATATTAAACGTAGACCATTAGATGATCCGATTAGGAGAGTAGATGTTTTAAATTTGACTTGTGTTAAGAAAGGCAGAGGTAGACCTAGGAA